CCACAAGTGGTGGAGCAAACTTGAATGTTGTAAATAATAGTAGAATTTCACAATCGCATGGTCACTCAGCAACTTTAGACTTTCGTGTTTTCATTACATGGTCTTTCTTGTACATAAAAATTAAAAACCAAAATCAATCATCTACCATAAGAAATTGAAATTCTAGCTCAATAGATGTAATCAAGACCTCTATACACCCACTTTGTGAGAGGTGATTGTGGGATTCATGCATATCATATATTCCACCAACATCATGACTTAAAGAGTGTAAACTTTAGAAACATTTAGCCGTGAAACTAATTTGAAATACAACCAAATCTTGTAGCAATTATAGAATATGAATTCGTCTAGCAATAAAAGGAACTTGATGGGTTAAACTGAAATTCTGAATAATATAATAAATGTATTTAACTAACACTATCTGTTGCAATGCCTTAAAACAAGAGAGATGATAAATTCTGGGCTACAATATGAACTTGTGGTTGAATTACTGATAGTTGTCTGCTGAAAGATGTATAGAGAAAAGAATTTTCTTAAGAAACATTAGGAACTTAACATGCATTAGATCTTCACAGATGAGTGAAATCCATGCAGAGGTCTGAACATGCAACTGGCAATTATCCCAAATGTTTTATAATTTAAAAAGAGATGACATTGTAAATGATATGCTAAGATCCATAACCCTCCAAAATTGAACAGTAGGACTTGCATTATGCACAGAGAGCTATAGGCCAAAATGACATTCAAGGGACAACCTAATTTTGCCAAAAATACACTTGCAAGAGAGAGTAATAACCTAAATACCATGGAATGGAGGAGAAAATATAAATACCTACTCTGGTGACCTTGTTAAAGCAGGAGAAACCGATATATTGGCTACGAGACCAAAACCAGAAAGAATATCTTTAACAATACCGCTGATACCAAGCAGGAGAAGAGTTTTAGCTCCTAACAGTGATCCACTCGCACATGTTGACAGAAGGCGGATCAAACCTTGGAAGATTTTTATAAGCTCAAAATTAGGATTAGCAGAAGGAGAATGTTATACACTAACCTATATCTGGTGATTGAAATATGCATACCGTGTATGTTGATGGAGTGAGAGAGGCCTGCCCCCTCCTGAGTTACTGATGGAGATCAACCCAGCAGCTTGTGCAACCAACCCATGATTACATAACTCATCTAGTTTCTCTGGGGATGAGGCAAAGGCTTCAGCAATACTCGTCAAACAAACTAATGTGCATGGTCAAGAACCTGGCATCAAATACCAAAGTTCAACAGAAGTCTTAAGTAAAACAGACATCTTACTGATTCAAGCAAAGGTAAGACACATATAACGAAAGAAGTAAATTATCTTCATGCCTATATAATAGACATCTGAATTACCTTTGAATAATGGTAGTGGAGAAGGTTCGTAAGCAGTGGAACCGCTTCCATTACAAAGTCAGCAGCATCCGGATGGGAGTTTCTTGCACATGTTTGTGGCAGTAGATAGAGCTACTCTCTGAAAAGAATGATCATTTCAACTTAAAATCAGTTAATAGATAAAAATAAGCATCAAGAAAGAATTTGCTACCTAAACCCCAGTAAAGAAGAAGTCAAGATAAGACAGCACCACCATAAGTGCGCTAGCATGCAAACAAGCAGTCAGATGCTCCTGTGATATCTTCTTGAGAGCTTGTAAAGACTGCAAGAGAAACAACACATGCAAATAATGAGAGTGGCTGGCATAGATAAGGTGGAAAAGAATCAGTAACTATTTCTCTGAAACGAAAAATGTGCCAAAAACATTTTCTTTCTCCGATTTTTCAGTCATATAACACACAAATTTGTATCTTTAAGAGATAGCAGAAACTAATACGCAGAGAATAGCAGGAATCTGATCTGCTCAGCCAAATTCATGTACTCAATGGTCAACAGCCTTGCACAGAAGCAAGGAACAACACCATAATGAACGACTGCAGCGTAAGAAGACGGCAAGACATCGTACAAATTCGTGAGCGCCCGCGTCGCGAGAAGTATAATATCCGCATTGCTCTCATGATTCAACAACCTAACAAGAACCGGCACGAAAGAATCCACGAAGAATGATCCCAGCGACTCCTCCGTCCCTATCGATAGCATCTCGCAAAGCTGAGTCAGCGCCTCCACCTGCCGCCCTTCTTCTCCTTCAGCCCTCAGCCCGGTCAAGATCTTCTTTAGCCGCCCGCTCTGATGTGACGACGACCCGGATGCAGTCGAAGATGGCAAAAGATCGTCAAGCCCAGCACCAAGTTTTCGTAGCAGCCTCTGAAGGGCGTTGCTGGCGGAAGTTAAGTTCTGGTGAAGGATGCTAGCACCAGACTCACTTTCATCATCATCGGCTGTGCTGTCACTATCAAAGCTGAGGCCGAGCAACGCTCTCGGCCTCACGTTCGTGCCGCCCGGTATGGTCACAGGCACCGGGAGCTCGAAGACTCGGTCAGCTCCCTTCTTTCCCTTTATCGGAGGTTTCTTGATTGGAGTTATTGTTCCGACCACAGCGAGAGAGAGAAGACGAGGAATCGGAGGCAGAGGCGGAGCTAGGATCCATGCTAGGGTTTAAGTAGGAGAGGCAGGTGGGGGCGGGTTGGTGGAGAAATAGAAGAATCGGAAGGCATAAGGGGGCAGGTGGGGTGTGAGCGGCGCAGAAGAGAGGAAAGTTAAATGAGGGAGCAGAATGCGAAGAGACATGGGTACCAGTGGGTTGAGCGGCAGAGGAGTAGGACGTTAAAATGAGGGAACGGGGGGCGGGTGGATGAAGAGAAAATGGCACATTATTGATTATACAGGATAAAATTATAATTAAAACAAGTTAAAAGGGGCAAAATGGGCATGCAAAAGATTTGACACTTGTTTTCTCTTTTAGAAGTAGTAGTATATATATATATATATATATATATATATATATATATAATATATATATACATTATATATATATATATATATATATATAGTATGTATATATATATATATATATATATATATATATAATATATATAATATAGATTCGACTTGGTTTGTTTAACTAATTTGTTGGGATGTAGAAATCTTGAATCTAATTGAGGCCCACCTAGATTTAAATTAGAGATACAGCGTACCAAATTTAGGCTATGAACTTGATTAGCCTTGTGTAGATTTTAGACGCATCAATTTTACGCTGCCTTGCTTCTAGTTTATTCCCTGGATAGTACACGTTTTCTTGCTCTTGGGCCTCGGTGTTATGTTATGTAAATGTCATGAGCCCAGTGGTATATTCAAAAATTATTTGTTGACAAGGGAATGTTGGCTATGGGGAGCTACGACTAGAGTCAGTGACAACCTGAGTTTGAATTTGCGATGAGAAGAAAATAAGTTCTATATAGAGTGACATCATTTTAAGAAAAAAAGTGAAGAGTGAAAGATCCCAGAGAGTTTGAAAACGAAAACATCGACCTTTCATTGTAGGTATAAATTTCTATCAGAACTTCACATTCTCTTGTGGAATATCTCTACTATCATTAAAGAACCTAAAAATAAATGAAATAGAAGAGATTTCTTCTAAGCTAAATGTTTGGTTTAAAAAACGCGGCCAATTTCTTCTAAGCTAAATGGAATGTCTCAACAGGCATTTTCTCTTAGGGCGACTTGAATCCAAATAGAAAAGATTTAGAGGACTTACAATGATTTGAGAGATTTGCATCGAAATATTTAAGATTTTTAGGGGTAAGTATTAAATAAAAAAGAAAATGGAAAAAAACAACATTGCATATTTTCAAGTGCAAACAGGGCTAATAAGGGAATTGGAATATTTTCCTTAAGAGCCCCATCCACAAAAAGTAAGAGAAGGTAGGGAAACATGTAAATTTTGTTTGGGAAATTAGTAAGAAAATTCAAGGAGAACTTATTTCACACCCTCTTAAAAGTTTAAAAAAGTAAAAAAATGAAAGAAAATATATATAAACTTACATAAATAATGTTACATATTATTAAAATTTTTATTGTTAGAAGTTAGAAAATAAAAGGAAAATGATTTAAGGATTCAAAATATGGGATCAAGGGAAGGGACATGTGATTTGTCCCCTTCCTATTGCATAATAAGTTGGCATGGCCAACTCATTATGCAATAGGGAGAGGACGCATTACCTGTCCCATCCATTGGTCCCATATTTTGGATCCCCGTAGTAGCACTCAAAATAAAATGACCTCTTCATAATTATTTTTTCAATTAGAAGTTCCCATGACTTCCAAATGGACAAATTTTCAAAACCATCCCTTTTTAAAATTTATTTATAAAAAACGACCCATTTTAACTTTAATTACAAAAACAGACCCAGTTGGATGAAACTGGGTCTGTTTTTGAATTTTTTTTTAAAACTTCACGGGAGTTGAACTCCCGTGAAATTTTGTTATGAGAAAAAACTTCACGGGAGTTCAACTCCCGTGAAGTTTGGTTTTTTTTTTTTAAAACAGACCCAGTTTCATCCAACTGGGTCTGTTTTTGTAATTAAAGTTAAAAATGATCTTTTTTTTTTGAGAATAAATTTCAAAACCGGATGGTTTTGAAAATTTGTCCACTTCCAAATTGAAGGGAAACATAAACTTAGGACCTGTTTGGATTCGTAGGGATAAAGGGAAGTTAAGGGAAACTGAGTGAAGGAAATGGAAGGGAAAGGAAGGGAAGGGAAGGGAATTCCCTTCCCCTTGGTTACACCCCAATTTGGGGGGTAAGGGAAGGGAAGGGAATTCCCTTCCCCTTGGTTACACCCCAATTTGGGGGGTAACAATTTTTATACTATTTGGGGGTGAACCTTCCCTTCCCCTTGGTTACACCCCAATTTGGGGGGTAACAATTTTTATACTATTTGGGGGTGAACCAAGATGAATGGAGGTGAATTAACTTCACCTCCTAAGTGTTCCCAAACAAGATGAATAGAGATGAATGGTTCCCCTAACTTCCCATCACCCTCGTTCCCCTCAATCCCAACAAACCCTTAATTTTTTGTCCCCTAACCTACCCTGCCGCTCGTTGGCCCCAATCCAAACGTGAGATCCTTCTAAAACCCTTTTCCCTCTTCTTCCTCCCTCCAACTCCGGAGCCCCCAATGGAGAAGCTGCGGAAAATAGTGACCCAAACCGCCGCCACCTCCGACTCAAATCTCCACAGCCTCCCGTTCCTCCACCGCTCCCTCGCCCCTCTCCTCTCCGCCGCCTCCTCCCTCTACAAGCTCTCCCTCTTCCTCCGCCGCAAGCTCTACCTCCACGGCGTTCTTCATCAACACAGGCGAATCCCTAACCCTAGCCCTAGATTTATGTTCCGCTCTCAGTCTGTTTGTTTCGATGTTTTCAGTGGTGGTTTTGTATCTTTTGTTTGTTTAGGTTGCCGGTGCCTGTTATTAGCGTAGGGAATCTAACGTGGGGAGGGAATGGAAAGACTCCCATGACGGAGTTTCTAGCGATGGTCATGGATGGAGCTGGGATCCCACCGCTCATTCTCACTAGGGCAAGTTTTCAGTCTTGAATTTAGTTTTTTTCTTTTAAAAAATATAAATTTTGCTGATTTGCCTTTTGATTACGAGATGAACACATGCCAAAGAGTTAATTTGGTTCACATTTTCACTCCTTGAGGATTGGAATGGTTTTTCGTGTAGATTTTAGAGTTTGCATGAGTATTGTGGAAGTGCACATCAAAGATGTAGGATTCTGTGCGGTCGATAGGCGATAGCAAGCCTATTGGAATGAAGGTTGATAATCTTGTAGAGAAGATGGCTCAGTAATGAAGCTGAGGAGAGCAAAAGTGATCCATATAGCTAGCCTCCGCAGAGTTGGAATGAAAGGCAATGTATTCTTCATTATTGATGCAGTTGAAAAACATTCTTTTCTAACTCTATTAGGAAATATCACATATAATGCTCCATTAGCTTAGAAGATTAACATTAGGTTAGAATACTTTACAATAAGAAGAGAAGCTAGAAGACTATTGAGTAGAAGGTTGTGTCTTCAGCTTCTTATGGGATTTATATAGCCATCTATGACCAGGTTCACCTATAAGAACCTTTATCTAGTCACAACTCTAGGATCTATCTTCGAGCTTCTAAATGTCATAAACAACCATACTAGAATAAGATTAGAACCCTATATCCGGATAACACATGTGCTAGATAGTATATGAAAGACCTTGTTCAATTCAGTGTAAAATGAATAATATATTTGAGGATCAATCCTAACGCATCTTAGTATTTTTCATTATCGTGCCCCACAAGAGTTGCTGTTGTTGTCCAACTTCCTGGTGCTTATTTCATTATTTAATAATGCACATCCAACAATCCAGCAGAAGCATCAAAACTTGTCTTTTCCTTGCGAAGATTATTGTGTCTACTGTGTTATATAATTGTGCTGATGCAATAGATTTTGATTACTCACAGGGTTATGCTGGTGGCGATGAAGCTAAAATGCTTCATAGGCACCTTTTGCATACTTCTACAAGGATTGGGATGGGTGCAAACAGGATAACTACTGCTGCTTCTACACTTGAAAGATATGGGAGGATGGATACCTCTCTCATTTTTGAGAAACTATCGAGTTCTCATAGATATGAATCAAATCATGAAAATAAAAAAGTTGGTGTGGTAATTCTGGATGATGGAATGCAGGTATTTGTCTTTGCACATTGTAATTTGGTTTTTCCTTCAGTTGTGCTTTTTTTTGTATACTTCAACTTTGTGCATTTCTATAATTTGTTATGTCTGCTTCCTTATGACTGATAGAGCAGGTTTTTTTTCTTAAACTAATTTTTCAAAATTAGATTTTTGATGCTTCTAGACCAACAAAATAAAACAATGTATTAATTTTTTCCGATAAACCATTGAAAGTTATTGTTAGTCTGAGTTTCTGTCACGTCCTGGTTCCAAAATATAATAGTTTGGAACGTGATTTGGCCGACAATGTAACTATACGGTCACATTCACACCTATAGATCATCCTGTATATCAATATAAAACCAAAACTACACCATAGAGCATGTGATCAAGATAATAAAGGAAAACTCATAGATAAAGAAATATCTAAAATTTCAGAGGTCTGTGAAAAGTCCATAACTGTCCAAAATGGAAGAAAAGATAACATTCTTCGTCTAAAGATCCACAAGAGATTACAGGAAAGTCTCCAGTAAAAACTACCTAAAAACAAGTGAAATGGAAAACTGAATGGAATGAACGGTGATCACTGTCGATGAACCTGCCCCTCGAAATACTCACGATCCTGCGAAGAAAGAACAGTCACCGAGTCTGGGGCATGCAAACCCCAGAGGAGTCAGAAAACTCCCAACAAGCATGTAAAATAAAGAAAATATGCGCGTGTAAGTGTAATGTGGTATGAATAAAGAAAAATGAAAACCCAATTAAAGATGGAAAAAATGCCAATAATAGATATCAAACAAAGTCAATCATAAGACACGCAAGCACATTATTATTATTTTAGAAGTTATTTGAATTAGAGAAAAATATTTCATGTTTATAAGTTGGTTTCCCGTAAACCGTCTCGGGAACACGGCTTCAAGTCAGGATGGGCCCTTATTTCTTATATATATATACCAGGATATCAAGAATACGCACAAGCCCGCTTATATACATGTTATATTCTCCGTCTAATTCCCCTTTATTAAACCCCATGTTTGTCTGTTTAATCTAAGTAACTGTGCATGAAATGTTGTGCACTAACCACAGAGTTACCGTGGAACGGCTTCTGTAGAACTATGAAAAATAACCGTGACCCAGAACATATCCAAATCAAGAGGGGTACATCGTCTAGTCGATGCTATAATAATAGTAATAGCCAAGGAAAAATCTCATATCGGGATATCGATATCGAGAACATAGCCATGCTACGAAAACACGCTTATAAATCATATTTTTGACGGAAGTTGTCTTCATGCACAGTCTAGCCTATTTGATGACTTTACTAATCAACACGGATTTCAACCACACAATCTATTTCAAAGTATCACAGAAATCCACAGTATGTGCTACTAGTTCACTAAAAGGTTATAAGCTTAAACAAGTAAAAAGAAGAATAACTAAGAAAAAACTAAAGCCCACTTGTAAGGCCCACTGAAAAAAAATGAAAACAATTTGAAGGTCACAGGATTTGAACTCCCGACCTACAAGTAGGGGTGTGCAACGGTCGGTTCGGTTCGGTTTTTACCAAAATTTGAACAACCGAACCAAAGCATCTATAATTCAAAACCGAACCGAACTGTTGCAAGTCGGTTCGGTGCGGTTCGGTTCGGTTTGTTCGGTTCTAACTTCATCAAACTTCTTATCAAACAACAAACTGTGTTAAAGAAAAAAATATCAACAAAGTAGGAGATTATGAAGCATTAAATACTGATATAATGATATTGTTTTCAACCCATAATGATCCAGAAAATGAGTTTAGAGTTTGAGTTTTTGACTCTTTGGGGACGGGTCGGGTAGGGTTTGAGATCAGAATAGGTAGTATTACACTATATTCGGTCGGTTCGGGTCGGTTCGGGTTGAAAAGTTTTCAAACCGACCCGAACCGCCCTACTTATAAAACTGATTTTTTCGGATCAGTTCGGATCGGTAGAAATTTTATTTTATCAATTCACACAGATTCCCTTATCAAAATAAACAAATAATATATACTATTTCCATTTGGGGAAAGGAGTAAAGTCGTTGAAACTAACTATAGTTTGGAAACCTTTTAAAGCCAAAATTTTGAAAAAATTTATCTGTTCAGGTGATAGTTAATAATTATAAGCAGAATAATATGTCATTAGCTAGAAGTCAAAACATTTAAGAACCTACAGTATATTCCGTGAAAAACTTTAACAACAATATTTCATATAGCCAACTAATTTGTATAAGTACATATTTAAAGAAAGGTTTAAAAAAAATGGAAAATAAGTTAATGGTATTCATCCTCTGTCAACTAGGGAAAATATATTAAACCAACACTGTCTTCAAGTCTAAAAAGAATTTCATCCCACAGAACCGGAGACATAGTTACATACTAGCTGAAATTCGGAGAACACCCAAGCACATACTTCATAAAGGAGAACACAAAGCCATATATTAATTGTTTAGGTCCGCATGCAGAGACAATAATCTCAATGTAAACAAAAAGTCTAACTGGGAAATCATGCTAGGAATAATTTAACAGTATAGGGAAAATTCCAAAATCACTAATGCTCTTATTTAACACACATAAATTTGTACTTTTAAATAGTCATGGCCTGGAAATCCAAGATATCAATTATCAACAAAGGAGCAAGTCATCCATATAATTATGAAAATATGAACAATATCAACAAAAAGTTTAGAAGGATAAATTTTAAAGAAAGGTTTAGAGAAGTATGCTTGCATGAAGGAAAAATCCAAATGATAATAATAATAATCAAGGAAAAAGGATGCTTGCCGATTAGTTGGAAGAAGACTATGTGCCCCAACTCCAAAAGAGAATCCAACCCTCGTCCCTTCCTTCTCTTGTTCTCTGATGCGGTTTCCTTTCTCTTTTTTTTCCCTTTTTTTTTCTGTGCAGGTTTTTTTTAGAAACAGAGATGGGGAGAAAAGGTGATTGGGTTCTTAAAGGAATGGGTTGAGGGAGAAATCCCTAAGGATAAGGAAGTTAATTAGTTGTGATGGGAGTTGTAACAAAACGGAACTATAGGGATTCTCAGGATTTGGACGTGGAAGATCATTCGTGGAGGTTGGGGAAAATTTTCTTCCACCGAACCCAAAATCTCAGGAACCCCTTGTGAGAGGATAACCAAAAGGAAGAAATGAAGATGTATATTGGTTAATGTGCTTTTGCTAGGATGACTTAACACACATGGGCCTTAAAGAATTTTTTTTCAATTCCAACATGGTGTGGGCCTCCTTTCATAAAAAAAAAAATTGATTATTACAGTTTCTGTACATGTGACCATTCAGGGGCTGATCTGTATTAATGTTAGGGGGAAAACTGCACCCTTAACAATATGGAGTTATCATTTCCTTACCTTCTCAACTTACAATATACCACCTCTAGTTTTAAAATATTTGCAACCCAACTTATATAATCACAAAACAATTAGCAGCACATTTAAGTATGTGAATTAGCAGCCCAACTTATATAATTACTAAACATATGACTTTAGCCTATTTAAGTATGTGAATTTAGTTCTTTAGCAACTCAAAACTCATAAAATCTAATTATTTGTGCTCACTGGCATATTAAAAGATGCGGGCTTTTATAATAAGATGGTTGTGAGGTGGGGGCCCATTTTGCTAAATAAGCTACCAAGAGATAAAATGTGTTGAGGCCTACCCATATGATGTGACTTTTAGAGTGGGTCTCACCACATGACTATCTATTGGTAGCTCATTTAGCAAAATGAGCCGTCACCTCATACCATTATGTCCTTTATAATATTATATTTTACTTTAGTTAAATAAATACTTGTCATCAACCCCCTTAAGATTTTTTTCTGGATCCACCACTGTAACCATTGACCAGGCCTATGTAGCACGGACACGGATCCGACAAGGCCATCCGACACGCCGACACGAGACAAATCCTAAAAAATACATAGGATACGTGTGTTCGACACGTGTGTCCGACACGGACACGACACGGCTTCATGTTATGCGTGTCCGTGCTTCATAGGACCAGGCACCAAGTGTTTGTAGGACCTTTGTTTATCAAAAAACAAATGACTGGCCTCGTCCTTGGGTAAACTAATGAGAAATCCACTTATTAGATCCATGTTGTGATAGCAAGGGAGGTCACAATTTATCGGTCCCAAGCAATGTTGGAAAACGTGACCTGTTTAGGTGCCTATTTTGGTCGCTTAGGAAATTTGTCTGCAAGCAACTTGAGAGGCGTCTCTAGTTGCTGGGCACCACTCTTAGCATGTAAACCCATCTAGGCATTTTTTAAATGCCAATCTCAAGACTGATTCAGGTCTGGCACCAATTGCAGAGTAAGCTTTAGGTAGCGGATGTTTAAGAATATCAACAATGTCAGTATGGAACTTTTAATCACGTACGCATGACAAAATAGATTCAAGATGTATGCTAAGTATGCTTAGCAATGATAAGACAATGGTTCTAGTTCTAGATATGGGTTCTAAATCTTTTGTCTAGTTAAGTAAAATTTTGACTGTTTTCACACTTTATTTGATTGCCTTACAGTTCTGTTATCTTGAGGACTGTTGCTGTGATTATTAGTGTTATTGAACTTTCAGCCAGTTTGTATAACAATCATGGAATAACATAAGGTTGTTTTTGCTTCCTTTTTTCCCCCTCTACATATTATTATCAAGCTCAAATTGTTACGTTTCCTTTGTGCCAGCCAAGGTGTTCAAGCGTCTTTTATTGGTTATTACCAAGCTGCAGTAAACATCAAATTTAGAATTATGATAAGATGTTAACATACATTTGAAGATACCTTCCCTCGTGGATACATAGCTTGCTAACATTGTGTCTTTCCTGTTGTTGCAATCTTTGATAGGCAGCATTTGAGTTTGTTTCGTGATGTGGAAATTGTCATGCTAAATAGCTTAATGCCATGGGGGAACAACCACTTGCTTCCACGCGGATCTTTGCGGGAACCGGTGAGTGCACTTGGCCGCGCAGACATTGTCGTCATCCATCATGCAGATTTGGTATATAAAACTGGCCATTCAATTCTCTTATTTGATTTTTTTCACTTATAGTCATGGGTTATAATATGTTTGTATTATAATGAAACTATTTCATGTTGGCCTTGCTCTAGATGGATATATTTGCATGCAACAGGCTGTTACATTAAAACTTACTAACTCTTGACTGGGTATATATTGTCATTTGGCTCCAAAACTTGTATAAGTGTATCATTCATCATGAGTATGTGCAATCCATGCAAATCTTGTGATCTTCCCTCTTCCTATGTGTTTTTTTCAAGTATAAAAGGATTTTGGAGTATCTCCTTGGGTGCATGAGCTTAAGTTTCATGATATGGACTAGTTTTTGCTAGAATCAGCGGCTACCTTCTGGATTGCATCTCCTGTGCACATGTAATCAAAGCCAGTCTTTTAGGTCTCTGAATCTCTCAACTCCACATTGACGTTATGAAACTTATTATTCTTCACAGTTGTCTAGTAGATAGATTAGCGATTATCTTCTTTGTTAGTCGGCAAAGGAAACAAGAAAAATACATGAATATGCATTTGACAAACTATAGAATACAGGTGAAACTTTGGCAACGGATGGTAAAGATTATTTTTTGAGATATAATGCAGAAGTCAATTATGGAAAATTGTATGCTTCCAATTTTAAGCAACGTAAAAAAAATTCTCAACATATTTTTGTACTTTTAAAGAATCACATGCTGCATTCATTATTTTTTGATTTTTTTCTATTTGCTGCATTCCTTGGAAATTCTTTTGTTGACTATACATTCTAAAGCCTTTTACATCACTTGAGCTTTTGCTTGTTGCTTTTTTGGAATAATGTTGCATACAGATAAGCAGAATTTATTGCGTACAATAGTGAGCAACCAAAACTTGACTATTTTTTAGTTACTCTGGGAAAAATAATTAGAGTGCAACTGGAACATATTAACTCCCCATACTGAAATGCTTTCAGTTTGTTTATCTATAACTTGTAATTATTCATCTGCAACCATGTTACCAGTTTCTTTTGTCATGTATGTGTAATTTACTCTTCATACTGGGCTTTCATATGATGGGTTTACTGCCCTTTTGAGATTTTACCCTCATTTTTGTTAGCCTTTTGATAAACCAATGTGCCTTTTCTGCAATTCTTCAATGTCAGTGGCAGCTCTAACAGCCCACTTTCCCCCGCATTATATGCTTTGATGATCAACCAGCATGCACAGTTTTTATATTTCTTCTGTCTAGCTTGAAATTACTACTTCAATGTTACCTTTCATGTGCTAGTTAAAAAGTGGTAAAACCACAGTTAATGGAACAATGAGGATGGGAAAATATAGACGGAGGCAATTGGAAATGATGTGATAGTTGATCATTAAACTCAGGATATAACCCATAATAGATCTGAATGGATAGAAAAGGATTCATGTAAATAATTAAAAAACTTTGGTAAGGAGGTCTTTTTGTCACTGTTTTTGTTATAATTTCGTATCGTTTAAGATTTGTGGCCTCAATTAGTCAATTTCTTATGCGCTGCTTCCTAGGGAACCTAACATACACTTGTACTATTGGAGAATTTTTCTCTAGTTGAAGATAGCTGTACATTTACTTCCTTTAGAGCCACAGTATGAATTCATACAATGAAATGACATTTGCCTTCTTTTTCATCTTATTTACTTGCATGATCTGGAATTCTGTACTTCATGGTCTTTTTTCGTGTGCACGTTGGTTTTGACCTCTACTTTAATGCCCATCTGAGTAAGTGGGTGAACAAATTTATGGAAAAACATCTTATTTTGGTTCTGTCCGTCATATGTTGTACAGTTGTCAAGTTTTTAATTGTATATTAGCTACACAAGACGTAATATTGGTTATAACGAATCAGTAATTTTTCTGTTGTTTTTTTGGCTTACTGTCCAGGCCTCTAAAGCACAACTCGGAATCATTGAATCTACTCTGGAAAAAGAATGTGCATCAGCTTCTATTTATTTCACTAGATTGGTCCCATCACATCTTTTTGAAGTCAAGGATCCACACTCCAAGTTGCCACTGAGCATCATAAATAATATTGTTGTACTATGTGTATCTGGAATTGGCTTCCCAGATGCCTTTGTTCAGTCGATTAGTAAGGTATTTCCACTTGATTCCCCCGTGGCCATATGCTTTTAGTATTTAGTCATTTTTCTACATGTAAATTGTCTTGGTGATTTCCTTACTAAGATTAAGAAATTAGATTATTACTACTTGACATGGAGTTTTATTGCGCTGATTTACCCTGGTCCAGCTGGGGTCGGATTAGCTTGTTCTTGATGTAAGTAAATATAACTATGCTTGCAATTAAAAAAAGTCAAGATCTACTGGTTATTTTTGTTTAGTTTATCAATTTATCTGGGTAATGTGCTCTAGTTGTGGTACATAGTAACATAACATTTTTCTTCTCTGTTAACCCTGTTATGCATGAGGTTTATTCAGTCAATGTTTGCAATCCTCATGAGTTTCACATTAAGTCAGTTTCTGATTGTTTGGGTTGGTTTGCGCGCGCTTGGTTAAAATTTCATCATCTTCTTCCCACCAAATGAATGCCATTTATTTATTTTTAATTGTAAACCTATTATAATCAATTCATAATGGTAGCCTACTTGCACTTTAACAGGAAGAATGTATGATCCTTGGCAAATCAATGCAGATTCCGTCGCGAGATGTGAAGATTTGCAGCATTAACCATATCTGATGTGAAGATTTGCAGCATTAACCATATCTGATTTGACCAGTTTGAGAAGGAGGCTTTGCTAGGTTACGACTGCCTGAATACGAAACTGTGACATACTGAATATACAACCAAAAAGTGTCTCCTTGCCTATGAACAGAGTACAAATCATACGTTAATAAACACTCCCAAAATATATATCTATTCGCCATACTTTGTTTACACTATTGCCTTGGCCTGTTGTGCATTTGCATCATACTAGAAGCAAGTACTGCATATGTCTTGATTAGTAAACCCACTTTCTCTCAGAAGGATAGGTGCGTTTGTTAAGTGGGGACAGTTTCTTTTCGTGTATGTTGCATGGATATGGACATGGGGCACATACTTAATGTGGCACAGACATGAAGACACATAAAATTTCTTTTAAAAAAAACGCAAGATGCAAGATGCCTCGTCACATATTATTGACAAGTTCTTTATATTGTACCTTCATGAGTGTATATAAATGAAAGTTCTATGAGCTGAATCCAAGGACCCTGTGTTTATTGAGTCCTAAATTTTTCAGAAGACAATTCCAGAACCCTGTAATAGGAAATCAAGGAAAGGAGACTAAAACCATGAATAAGAAGTAGACGAAAAAAATGAAATTGAAGGAAGTGAAGATTTCATTGGACAACTAAGATGCGGGTTTGTTAGCTACCTAGTCACTGTCAATGTCTTAGTTCATGGTTCAGGGTTAAAGCTACTAGATACGCTGACACCAATGATGGCCTAGTAGTGTTCAAAAAGAAACATAAAGCAAAATAGTGAAGTCACTCATAATAACAGACCTATACACCCTACACCAGCTTGATACTCCATCTACAAGGCGTATCAGGTGGAGACACTTTTAACACATAAGATACATCAAAGCATCTGCTCAACATGCATGGGAATATAGCTTCCATTTGAAATGTGGCATGTGATGTGGAAACCATTGAATCGACTTACCTATCAGTTCGATTTTTACCTTGTTTGTCACATTGAATCAACTATTTTATATATTCTGCTTTCAGGAAACGCATTCTCGAATGTTTCTCTTATTTTTGTCTTTAAGTTACGTCAGCAGTGAATGAGATATCACTCTTTTTAATGTGTTTCCTTCCGACTTTTTAACTGAAAACTCAAAATTCCTTATGAAATTTACTGCCAATTATCATTTGCTGCAGATTGGACCATTGCATGTTGACCGGTTAGACTTCAGTGATCATCATGTGATTCGAGCTGATGTAAGTACTAAGTATCTTGGTAGACAGATACAAGAATTCAGAACTCTTCTATTCAAGAGTTTCACTGTATTTGAATATTATGAAATGGATATCTAACCTGAGAAGCATGCACTAAATTGAAGTGATGGTTGCTGTTAAGAGTATAATATCAATCATTTGGAAACAGTTTTAGCCACGGTTAGTTGCTGGAACAGTGTATCATTCAGCTGCTACAACCCCCCCACCACCACTAACACGAGCACAAAACCCTCTGGAAAACCTGAAGGTCATGCAATATGATTCAAGTAAATAATAACAGTTTTCAATTTTTTATACTTAGAGCTTAGTATTATCTTTTGCTTGACTTATCTTGATGTAAGTTCAGATTTTAATGGTATACTAGAGTTTGCTTTCCCCAACTTCATTAGAGTATAAAATTATCACCCTCAACCCTCATTATAACCTTGGAGTTTTGGTGTAGGGCATGGAACTTTGACATGATATCAGAGCAACAACAAATTTAAAGTGGATTAAAAAAATAGTTCCTGCTGCTTGACACACAAGGCTCTCAGCCCACTGCTGGGGTAGGGGGTGGGGGTGGGGGTAGGGGGGTATGTAAGAGTATAAAATTATGAACTGCACTGCCTTTCCCTTGTCACCTAGTTACTACATCCATCTCATTTGTCCAATTCCTTGTCACCCTAAAGAGCAACACTACAACCATACTCATGAATAGAACTACTGTGCTATCTGGTCAGATACTTCTAATTTATGTGTGGAGAAACCAGTGCAAAGTGCTATTAACTAAACAAATTAGTTACAGATTGTATTACAAGAATGTCATGTTCCAGAGAATTGCATCCATTTTGGATAAAACAACATGGGAGTTGGAAGTTAATGCGTCTTGCTATTGCTATTACATTGATAAGTTAATTATGTAAGCAAAAAGATGGAATGTTTGCCGATTGCTGACAGTTCTTTTTCCACGTGTCCCCCCTTCCCCCCACCCCACCCAAAAAAAAACCCAATATATTGGTAGAGATACTCAGTAAGCCATCTTGTATGGAGTTGCTTCTCTCACTAAGAAAGGCGCAGACACTGATCTTTTAGTCTAGGATTGTGCTGTTTTGCTTAATTTTTTTAAATCTAGCTAGCTATCTTAGCAACTGATAAAGGAAGGCTAATAAGCATTTATATACCCCCACTTGTTTTTTATAGCACTTATGTACCTTGAAGTTCTTAAAATTGACACTTTAGTACCTTGCGTTATGCAAACATGAGAATATTCTCTCGAATATTCTTGTATGACACCAACATGCTAATTTTAGAATATTTTTAACTCTAATGATTTACTATTAAACCTATCCCAATTCCATTTTCAACCTATGACAATTCTATTACAAAATAGAATTCGGGTAGGTTTATAGTAAATTTATAAACATTAAGGCTTACAATATTCTAAAGTTAGAATGTGAATGGCACATGGGGATATTCATGAGAAAATTCTCACATTTGCATAACAGACTATATTAAAGTGTCAATTATAAAAACTTTAGGGTATATTAGTGCTGTTGAAAGCAAGTGGGGGTATATAAGTGCTAACAAGAGAAAACTATAAGGTATTAAGTGCTAATTAGCCTAAAGGAAAATATTTGTATCAATTAAATTTTTTCCCCTGTTTCGTTCTTGATTTTCAGTCAGCATTTAGCCCCAAGATACATGTTTCAAATATACATCATATTTCTCTTGAAGAAAACATATAATTATATTAAGAGAAGAAATAGAGTGCCCCTCCAAGCTGCAATTTCTGGCTATCCCACTACTTGCTGCTGTTAAGTGCAGTAAATTGTCAGAAGTGAATCTTGGTGATTATAAACTATTGTGATCTTCCCAAAACAATTACTTCCTGACATTTATTTGGAAAAGTTTCAGTTGATATTCTTATGTTGTTTCTGTCAATTTAGGATATCGGTATCATCAGAGAGAGACTAGAAGGGCTTCAAGATGGATTTGAGGCCAAAGCAATTGTAGTAGTGACAGAGAAGGTATTACATCCAAATTGATTTTCTCTGTCTATCATGGTTGTGAGCTAGTAATATTTGATGTTAGCAAGAATATGACTTCATTGTTCTCAATCTCTTGTCTACGATGGTGACTTTTCCATTACACATCCCTTAATTTTCTTGCCTAATAAAACTTCTAAATTTATTTATACAGGATTATGATCGAGACCCAATTACTCTTGTGGAACAGGATGATTTGACCATTTTAGTCCTTTGTTCTTCTATTCAAATTATCCCTTTTAAGGATCACACAGAAGAAGATTTCAGAATGCAGCTAAGTAGGCTTCTTATCGACAAACATGAAAGGCATGGTTATGTGAAATGACTTAACTGTTCTTGACAAAAGGGTTCGGACTCTAATATGTAAGTATCCTTTTCTTTCTTTAGGCAGGCTGATGATGGAGCATCCATTTCTTCCTTATTTTTAGGTTTTAGGGAGCAAGGTTTTAAATATCGGTTATCGGGGATTTATCGGACGGCCAAAATTCTTATCGGATAGCGGAAATCGGGGATATATCGGGGATAAGTAGTATTTATCGGAGCAATATACTAGATGGTGTATATATATAATATAACAACTAAAAAATATAATCTAAGCATGCTTAATGAAATATAAACATACCAAAACAGAAAAGCAAAGTATGTACAGTTTATTCACTAATTTCTTATATAAGTCTCTGTTACAGGAAAAACAGAAAAGCAAAGTATGATAAAAGAATAGTTATAGAACTGATATTACTCAAAAGAGAAAGTGTGTGCATGAAGGAATTACAAGAGAAGGAAAGCTCACAACATGTGTATATAGCCATGTTTCTGGACAAAAAAAACATGGTTGACAGAGGGTAGGCAAGCGACGAAGTTCAAGGTTGAAGTTCATGAAGGCGAGCGACGAAGAGACACAGAGAACATGAGATGAAGATAACGGAGGAAGCGCCCTACGAGAAAAGGAGCAGCCGTCGGAGACGAAGTTAGGGTTTGAAGGTCGGATTCATAAAGTTTCGGGTTTTAAGTTTCATATTATTAACAAAACGGGTGGGGTCGGGTTTTAAAAACCCAACAACTCAACTCAAAATGACTGGCCGATAATCCCGATAATTTAGCCTTACTTATCGGCCGATAAGTGTCGATAACGCCGATAACTCGCCGATAATCACTCCAAAACGATAACCGATTACAAAACCAACTTATCCTAGCGGAGAGCTCAAAAATCCGATAACTCGGCCGATAATATCGATTATCGGCCGATATTTAAAACAATGTTAGGGAGTAATACTCAATTTTATAGGTGACTGAAGCGAACTTAGCTTATCCATGTAGTTCTATTAAGAAATTTTAAGCATCTCCTTTCTCATGCGCAATTGTGCTAAGTGAGAAGGGCCACTTAGAGGAGGTTAGCCATTTTGACATTTTCAATTTTGTTCTTTCCAGTATTGCGAAAGTTTCAGGTTTATATTTCAACCGCATCATATGGTCTGAATTCGAGATGAAAGATTTTAAAAAAAAATTGATTAGCTCAAAATGATGGTAACATGGAACCTTTTGACAGTATGAGTTTTATGACAATCTGGCACTCGTTGTGGTACCTTTTTACCCGGTAAATGTTCTACATGATGAAATTGGGTGATTTTAAATATTATTAATGCTAACCTCTTAATTTACAGGAAATGAGACTGTAGGTGCCACCTTACTTGGCTCAGGTGAAAGAGTGATTACTAACTACTAAGGATTTTTTTGCATGATATTAATCGTTCATCTCATTTCCTTCTTATAAAACGTGTAATATGCATATATAAAACAACGTAGTTTAGGTATATGAATATCTAACCCATTCATTAAGTGATCACATTTGGTTTGTGATGTGAAACGGGGTAGGGGTCTATTGGAATTAGCGATTTAATTCGAACAACACATCGTTTCGCCAAAATTCATGATCTTCGGCAGGAAATTAATTCGAAACAATTAATGTGACAGATGGATTTTAACAAGATTTGCAACGATAATCATGAACAATTCCACTCTCAAATATTTTACTCGCAATATTAATTATCATTTCATAAGTTCTAAAATCAATATCAAAATTAACAGTCATATGTTCAGTTACTCTCAACTCACCAATTCAATCTAAGCAGTGAATATATAAGAGTTTAGAGGTGATATATTCATGCAATTAACTAATAAAAATGAGATTACGGAAAATACTGAGTGAGAGAAACGAAACATTCATCGGGTTGAACTGTGCGGGTTGAATCTGAATTGGGAATCAGGTTCAACTAAACATGGCTCGGTCTAGACCAAAACAAAAGCAGACCTAAATGAAATAGGTTCTGGTCAAAACATTCCAGACCCGAAGTGCCTTCTCTGTTCTTCGGTCTGAGGGGAGCAGAGAGATGATGTGACGGCAATGCGGTTGCAGGACGACGCGGCTGCGGAGGAATCGGCGACGGGAAAACGCTGCAGCCGGCGGGACGAGAACGCGGCGGCGGACGGCGCAGGCAGGGCATTCGAGGAGCAGGGGCGGCGACGTTGTTGAAGAATGAGGAAGCAGGGGTGTTTGGCTATTGTCGGAGGTGGAGGGGAGGACTGAGTTGCTGTTCGGAGGTGAAGAGGGGGAGAAGAAGACGGCGGCTAGGGTTTCACACCTCTAGGCTATACGGTTTCACACCAAAATCAGGTAACGAAACATTTTCTTCATTTATTCATTCAATTGATTTTCGTTTCTAATTACAACAAGCTTATAAAGAGAAAAATATTACAGATTTGGAAATCTCTCAATCAAATCTCTCTCAACCAATCAGATATCAAAATAAATAACTACCAGATCTAATCTCACAATTCAAATTCAAATCAACTACCAAACTGAAAGTAACAAAAAAATCTAAATTATCAAAACCACATCGTAGAGATCCGGTGCAAGGCTGAAACACGTCTCCTACGCTGATAAACACGACGAAAGTCCCGTGCACGTGCCTGGATGTCCTTGTCATTTTCCCCAGATGGGAGAGAACTTAACCCCGTCGAGTGTAAATCGTGATGGCTGTCATACTGCTCAAGTAGATATGGATCCAGCCTTTGTAAGTCACCTCGATCGAGCCAAGTGTCATCAGACTCAGGACGACCTTTCCAACGAACCAAGTACCTGTGGATACCATCAATAATAGTATCAATGTCATGTGCTGTATATGTGGGTGATATCTGGGGAAGTGGAGGTAAAGGGGAGCTCTTAGAAATAGGCTCAGAGGTAGGCTCATCAACCAGTGGGTTGTCAGGGTTAAAATGTGGGCCATTGCACTCTACTAAATCCTCAATATTAAAAGTCGAACCAATATTAAAACCTTCAGGAAGGTCGAGAACATAAACATTATCATTAATTTTCTTAAGAATTTTAAAAGGTCCAGCACTTTGTGCATGTAACTTTTTAACAGTTCCCGGAGGAAACCGTTCCGGACGTATCCGGACCATCACATAATCGCCTACACTAAATTCTTTAAACCTCTTTAGATTTGCTCGTATTTTATAGTTAGTATTGCTGTCATTGATCTTTATACTGATTTCTTTATGCAAGTCATGAATGCGAGATGCAAATGCAGATGTTGATTCAGATACTCTATGATGTGCAGACACGGGGATAAGATTTATAAGCTATCTAGGCTTGTAACCATACACGACTTCAGCTGGACTGACACCTGTAGACCTATTAACAAAGTTATTATAAGCAAATTCAGCAGTAGGCAGATGTTGATCCCAATCCCTAAGATTTTCGCTAACTAGCGATCTCAATAGGTTACCTAAGCTCCTGTTAACTACCTCAATTTGACCATCGGTTTGGGGATGAAAAGCCGTTGAGAATTAAAGCTTGGTTCCCATTTTGTGCCAAAGGGTTTTCCAGAAATAACTAGTAAATTTAACATCCCTATCAGACAATGGTTTTTGATAGTCCATGTAGTTTAACAACTTTATTAAAGTACAGTTTAGCCACCTAAACAGCGTCGGAAGTTTTGGAGCACAATATGAAGTGGGCCATTTTGAAGAATCGGTCCACCATAACAAGGACAGAATCGTGTTTTCTAATTGTCTTCGGGAGTCCTAACACGAAGTTCATACTGACATCTTGTCAGGGACAATTTGGGACAGGGAGAGGAGTGTACAGGCCAGTGCTCTGCTTATGTTGCTTAGCTAGTTGGCAGTTGTGACATCAACCCACTAGCCTAACAACGTCACGTTTAATACTTGGCCAATAGAAATGACATTCAATTGCTTCGACAGTCTTGTTATTCCCAAAATGTCCTGCAAGGCCTTCAGCGTGTAGTTCCCAAATCAAAAATTTTCTCAGAGAAGTGTCAGGAATACACAACTTACGAAAATAGAAAAGATATCCATCCTTCAGAAGAAAGCCATCAATTTCACGGGTCACTCCATCATTCAGCAAAGTATAAACTTCGCTAAAATCAGGGCACGATTCATACTGTTCTTTCACGGGTCACTCCATCATTCAGCAAAGTATAAACTTCGCTAAAATCAGGGCACGATTCATACTGTTCTTTGACTTTCTCAAAACCAACTACTTCAAGTATAAACTTCGCTAAAATCAGGGCACGATTCATACTGTTCTTTGACTTTCTCAAAACCAACTACTTTCGCACTCATGATTTAGAGAAGGTACATGCGATGACTGAGTGCGTCAGCGGTCTTATTCTCTACTCCCGCTTTATGTTTAATCGTGTAGGTGTAGTCCTGGAGGAACTCAACCTAACTACCATGTCTAGCATTCAGCTTCTTTTGAGAGTGAATATATCGAAGGGCCTCGTGGTCATAATATATAACAAATTCTTTCGGTAATAGGTAGTGACGCCAGTGACGAAGAGATTGTATAACTGCATAGAATTCTTTATCGTAGGCGGAATAGCGTTGTCTTGTATCATTCAACTTTTCACTAAAGTAAGCAACACGATGTCCTTCTTGAGATAGGACTCCACCTATACCAATTCCAGAGGCATCGCACGCAATTTCGAAGACCTTAGAAAAATCGGGCAGGCACATAACAGGTGCCTGCGATATTCTTTGCTTTATCTCTACAAATGTCTTGGTAGTAGCTTTTGACCACTCAAACTCATATTTTTTCAAACAATCGGTAATAAGGGTCATGATGGTGCTGAAGTCCTTGATAAATCGACGATAAAAAATAGTGAGTCCGTGAAAGCTTCGAACATCCCTAATGTTTTTGGGTTCAGGTCATTCTTCGATAGCTCTAACTTTCTCAGGATCAGCGGATACTCCTTCAGAAGAGACCACAAATCGTAGAAAAATAACTTGTGTGTAAGAAAAGTGCATTTTTTAGGATTGACATAGAGTTGCTCTCTTTTTAG